GGCTGTATGTGGGGGGCTGTATGTGGGGGGTTGTAGCAGCAAAGAGGTCAAAAACAAGGAAGTAAACTGTGCCATTTTTACCTGCAGTTATCAGGGGATTTGTAATTTAATTATGACTAACAAACTTTTAGCACTTCATGAAGACAGATCAGGTCAACCTCTGATTACGACTCTTAACTTTATTTACGCAGCCAACAGTTCTCAGGAATGATCAAAAGAAGAAAAGATTAAGACCTGACTAAATTAAATTTAAGACCTTTGGTGAAAACCTGTGCTTTTTAAGACATTTTTTGGCCTAAAATTTTGATTTTTAAGTTTTAGACTTTAAGACTTGGCATGAACCCAGTGTTATATTAACTGACTTGAAGGATCTGCAGAAACCGTACAAACAATTAAAAAATAAATCAAATCAACACCATTTGACAAACAAGAAGCCTTTATTTTTAAGTGAAAACAAAAACTGCTGTTTCATTCATTATCCTGATTATGCACAATCAAGTATCGCAAGTGCACAATTAATCTAAGGTAATTTAGATAAGAATATAAGGAGTTAATGATTGATTTCCTGTGTACACACAAGCCTTTAATAAAGACTTGAAACCTCCATCTGTGCTGCAATGTTTCAGACTGTGGATGAGTATTGAAAATGTTCAAAGCAACAGATAACAGGATGAAGAGTAAAAAAGAAATGACCAGAATGATCCAAAGCACAGTAAGCAGGGAGCGTGTTAGTCTKACATGGAGGTCTACAGTCCCTCCTGGGGCAGAACCATCTTACAGCCATGGGAAACATTAGTTTGGAGACGTCTGCATAGGCTTTGCTGGAAAGATGAAACTTTCCTGTAAATCGTATAGAAAAGACTTTAGGTTTTCTTTAACACAGAGCCCTGAAGAGTGCACTGAGAAGACGTAGTGTTTCAGGATGGGAGGCTCATGAAAGCAGCAGTTTCATGTTGAAAACAGAACAATAGACAAGAGGCTTTTATACAAGTCAATGCTTTGTAAAGTCAGAGAGAAGAAGCTGCTCACACATGAAGGAAGAGGTTCTACATGAAGTTCTTCTCACTACAGAGTGCAAATCAGACGCTTCACAAACACCTTTAATCTGAGAGCATCTCTGCCCACCAGCCCACACATTGTACACAAACCACTCCCAAAATCAAACACACAATGAATTTAGTCGATACGGAATGTGACAAAATTTAACTTTGTGATTCTTGTTAAATCTTTTGACCAGAGAAGAAAAAAAGTTTTAGTCCTTCATGAAAGTTTTTTAAAAAAAGGAAAAGGTGGAGGAAGAAAGGTTGTCAGTATTGTCCCTTCACTCCATGAGGAGCACAGACACACAATGGTTGAAGGACTGGGGGGACATGGATGGATGTGTGGACAGATGCTGGGGGGTCTTCACATGCCGTAGCCAAAGCCAGGCTGGGCTGCTGGCTGAGGGTAGCCTGCAGGGGCCTGGTACCCATAACCATAAGGCTGCTGGGGGGCCACGGGCACGCTGGGGCCTGCTGTTAGCATGAGCTGAGGTGTTCCTGCAACACAAACACACAGCTTACACACAACTCCACGTGTTTGTCATTAGAACATGTAACACTCAGTGTGTGTTAGAGCAGTGAGCTGCAGTCTGATCTTTGTGTTACCGTAGACGATGGGTTGTGTCTCTGTTGCTTGTTCCTCCTCTTCTTTTCTTAGTGACTCTGAAGTTTCAAGTTTATCAACCTGAAACAAACACAAACAATCAGAACAAACACAAACAATCACACCTGCTCAACTTAAACCAGTTAAACAAAAAGGCACAATCCTCTGTTAGCCTGGTGCAGACGGTCAGACCACCTGAGACCACATTTTAGCCTTGTGGGGTGGACCTGGTAAAACCTGGTGTTTTCCAATGGTCTTAATTAGAAATGGGCCCAATACTGGTGTCAAACTATACTGGGATATGAAAAAGTCATGGTTTCAAAACCACTAAAATTTTCTGTCATACCGTTGCTACGGTATAAACATTTGTTTATTTTTCCGGTGGTCTGTGCCGCTGCAAACATTTCTGTTTCTTCAGTTCACTGTAATAATATCTGTTCTTATTTAAATACTTTAAACTTCTCTGAATATATGAACATTACAGCCAACAAACAGTTTAACAGCTCACTTCATTCATTAGTTTCTTCATGCTCCTTCATTAACTAACTCTTCTGATGAAATACATCTACAGTCCTGCAAAAATATACAACTTTAACAGAAACTCATAAATCAAAGTATCTTTGGTTAAAGTATTCAATAGATAAATTGTTTTTATCCATATCTAATATAGCAGAAACATTAGCAGTCAGTTTAACGACCCAAAACGTGGAGTTTTAGGACCCACAGTGGGGTCTTAACCTCACTTTGTTAACGATGAACCCTTAAGTGTCTGTGACATCAAGACTTGTAAGAACAGTTAATGCATTTTTGAAAAGACAACATTATTAACATGTTACAAGTTTCACATTGCTCAGATGGACAGTTGAGATATTTCATCTAACAGGAAGTGATGTCACAGGGGAATGTCTGCATGTAAATATAAAACAAAAATGTTTAMAATTTTATTATTAGAGATGAATTACAATCATCATATTTACAGTGTGTTAACGTTTAAGACTTGTGACAGATTGATTTAAGACATTTTAAAGCTAATTAAGGCCTTATTTTTAGATTGATGAATTCAATGACTTTTAAGACTTTTTAAGGATCTGCAGGAACTCTGTTTAAGTGCATTTTCTCTAAAAAATAAAACTAAACAACCTCTTCTATCCATGCAACAAACTTCTACAAGCCTGGGACAGTTTTACAAACTGTTTATATGACAACTGTAATAAGTGTTAAAGTTAAAACCATGCACATCCAGGCCAACAAGATCCAAGTTTCACCTGATCATAAAGAGCATCAACCTGCAGGAGAGGAAGTGTAGCACAGGAGATAACGTCCTCATGAAGATCTGACAGAGAACTCAAGTCTGACTTTTATTTCTGCTTCAAGTCTTACTTTACATTAAAAGAAAAGTATATATAAATATAAATAACAGTATAATAGTGGTGTTTTGTGCGAGCAGGCGTGTTCAGCTCCACATGAAAGGAGCAGACCTACCTTGCTCAGGTACTCCCTCATGACCTGAATGAAGTACGGCATGGAGAAGTCCATGATGTTGTGTCTCCAGGAGGTCTCCAGCACCACGTCGGGCCGCAGCAGGTCGTAGCAACTGAAGAGGCAGGCAGCAAAGCACTCCTTCTTGTTCTCCTGCAGGAACCAGGCCAGCAGCTCCTCTGCCAGCTCGATATCTTTGGACTCTGAAGCGTACTGCATGGCGTCCTGCAGCAGATTAACAACCATCACGTTATTTATCAAAGGCTTCAGCTTCTTCAGCACATTCTGAATACAACTTCTCATTTTTCAGACCTTTTAAGTTATTTTACTTCTTCAGCCATGTTTTSAATGGAACTATTTTCAACAGCCTTAAATTGTTTTTAAATTCTCACAGCACCTTACACACTTAGCTCTGGTTCTACTCATTTTACTTCCTATAATTTTAGCTTTTTTTTACAAATCTTAGCTTTTATCTGACATTTCATTTATTATTCTGCTTCTTTCTCTAATTCTTCAGTTATTTTCTACTTTTAGTAGCTTCTTCAGCTAATTTAAATACAGCAGGAAGAAACTGTAAAAAGCAGAAACAGGTCAATTTTAACTAATGTTCAGCTGTTATTAGCTGAAGTTTGATTTTTTAAGCTAAATACACTTGTTTTTTTAGCCATTACAACTTATGACACAATTGAGATMATTTTTTCTTCCGTAYRTTTTTCAGCACCTTTCTCCTTCCACATTTTTTGTGCTACTTCAACCATTCATGTATCAAAACGTTCAGCTCATTTGTGCAATGCTGGCTACGACTTTTAGTATTTCAGCTATTTATACTTTTTTTTAGCAGAAAACTTTGGCTGTTTTAGCTATTTTACTACAAAAGATCACTTTTTAATAGTTTTATGGGTTTTTTTTTTTCTGCTAATTTAGATTTTTTTTACAACCATTTCACCATCTGGGTACAACTTTCAACTTGAGTCTGCCATCTTTAGCTTAATTTTATGGTAACTTTAGCTTTCTGCTGCTATATTAGCTAAATGTTAGTTATCAGTGTGCGTTACCAATGCAATGCACACTATTGTGATTCGTTTCCCATCAAAGTCATCAACTTTGCCATGCTTCTCCTCCTKCATACTTTGTCCTAGAGCTGCCATTGTAATTTATATCTGTAAAGCTCCTGTGTCAAATGATGGCTATGCCTTTTGGTGCCTGTACAACTTATAGTTTTTGAAATATTAATGTTTAATGAAATAATGGCAGTCAATGGAGCCTTGTATTGGTCCAATACTGCCCCCTGCTGCATCTACACAATAT